TTAGATAGAGTGGAAGGGAGGGAGGGAGGGAGAGATACATCGGTGTGAGAGAGACGTATCGATTGGTTGCCCCCCGCTCTGAACAACCCCAACTGGGCAGGGATGGAACCTGCAACTGAGGTACATGCCCTTGACTGGGAATAACTCAGGGGTCCTTTGGCCCACAGGCTGATGCTTTAACAGCTGAGCCAAACCGGCCAGGCCTCTCCCTGTTTTATAGTTTTACATTTAGGTCTAAAGTCCATTTCGAGTTCATTTTTTTCTGTATGGTGCAAGGTATAGGTTGAAGTTTTTTGTTTTGGGGGGGGGTTGTTTGTAGTTTTGTTATTGTTTACAGATGAACGTCTAACTGTTCCAGCATTGTTTTAAAAATTATCCGGTTTTTGTCCTTTATAATCCTGATTTGCCTTTATACCCTTGTCAAAATCAATTGACCATATGTGTAGGTTTATTCTAGACTCTATTCTGTTCCATTGATCTATTTGTCTACATTGATTCCAATACCACACTGTCTTTATTACTATAATGTTATAATAAGCCTTGAAGTCAGGTAGTTTAAGTTCTTCAAATATGTACTCTTATGTCAAATTGCTTAAGCTATTCTAGGTCCCTTGCATTTCCATATAAATTTTAGAATCAGCTTATCCATTTTTACAAAAAAAAAAAACAACAAAAAACCTGTTAGTATTTTGTTGGGATTGTGCTAAATCTATATATTAATTTAGGGATAACTTAACCAAGTTGCGTCTTTCAATCTGTAAATACAATATATCTCTCTATTTTTGGCTACTTTCATTTCTCTCAGCAATGTTTTATAGTTTTCTATTTACAGGTCTTTCACATAATTTTCCAAATTAATCCTTAAATATTTTATATTTTCATGTTATTTTAAATGTTTTTATTTCAGTGTCTGATGATTCATTGCTAGTATATTAAAATACAATTGATTTTGGTATTTGACCTTATAACCTATAATCTTGATAAAGCCACTTAGTTCCAGGAACTCTTTCGTACATAGGATTTTCTATATAAATTATTGTTATCTGTGAATAGACTCTTACTTCTTTCTTGCCAATCTGGAAAGATGCTTTTATATCTTTTTCTCTTGTCTTATTGCAAGAAAAGTATGATTCCAAATTCCCAGAGTCACCGTAAAGAGCATGAGACACCTGACTCATTGCTGTCACCACTGCAAGAATTCCTCAAGTGCCAATGGGGATGGTTCTCCTTCAGTGTTAGAGCTGCTGTGAAGATCCAAGTCACTTCAGTGCTGAACTCTTAAATTAGCCCCTCCGTGACTCGGTCTGTATGTACATGCACTTACACGTATATATGCACACAGTGCTTTTTTAAGGACTCTGCACTAAGATCAAACAGCCCATTCAAGAACCAGCCCTTCCAATGCCATTCTAGTCATTATAGATATATGTGCTTGGTCATTACTCTGGGTTCTCTTCTCTCTTATGGTAAGTTTCTCCCCAGAAGCATTTTATGTCTTTTCCAAATGATCTCAGTTGGGTCCACTTTAATCCATTTAATATTCTTTTAATAATGCTAAACTTCTAAATGAAAAGTATCAGAGTTTTAACCACCACCTCTCAGAAGACTCTTTGTACCTTATGCAAATACACCTATCCTTTTTTTAAACCTCCCAGAAGGGAAGTATTTGTCATATAAAACATAAGTTCTGTTACACACTTTCCCCCAAACAATAATATCTATTGGCCATTCACCTCTGTAAAAAAAGACCATTTGAGAGATTCTTCTCAGATAAAAGGCTACCTGACTCAAGGAAATTTGAAAATTCTAACACTGGAAATAGAAGCTACTGACAGCTGGAAAATAACAATTTATCTTAATTTTAAAAAATTATTACAGCTTAGTCTCACTGGGCATTCCTTTACAGAAGGTTTTCCAAAAATAAAAGGAATGTTTTAAGAAAATGAATATAACAGTAATTTGAAGAGTAAATGAGAGTTAAAAAGAGAGTTTAGTCAGGAAGATTGGTTACTAGACTATTGTAAAAATCCAATTCATATGTAATAATGATGTGACCTAGAGATGATAGTAATAAAGGAAAGAAAAGAATGACACTAAGAGATTTTTAAATAGAGAGATTAAGTAAGTTTAGAGAGTGAATCATGGAGAACAAGGGAGAGGAGGAAGTCAAAGATGGCAAATTAATGGAGAAAATGGTAGCACACCTTCAGAAGAAAATGGCCAGTACACAGAAAAATAGAAAGGGCAAGTCTGGATGGAAAGGTAATCAGTAAGATGATGGACATGTTGAGTCTGGTTCAAATGTTGAGAGGTACTGTAGTATTGAAAGAGGGTTGGATGGCAATCAGGAAAACTGGGTTTTAATTGTAGTACTGCCTCTAACTCACTGTGAGACAGTGGGAGACACAGTTGCAACCTGCCCAACATTCATTCTCCATTGTACCTTCCTCCTTTCTAATCTAAGAAGAACCAGATTTAGTTTCTGCCTCTACTCAACTTGGTAGTGCCATGTGCTTAAGAGGAGGCTGGACTCAGCCTCAGAGGGTGAGTTCTGATTGCTCTAAGCCAATTACATGTCCCATTCCCAGGGCACGTCACAAATCTGACCAATGAGGCATGAAGAAAAGTTGGCTTGTGTGTTTCAGGGTAGTGAACACTCACTCTGAAGATATTTCCCCTTCTTTCACTGGACATTGTCAGGTCTGAATGGGACCTTAGGTATAGCTTTCTAACCATCAGGAGCAGGCCTGTGAACAGACCAACATGCTGAGGATGGCAGAGCCAGTAGTTGGAGAGAGCCTGGACATTTGACATGCCGTTGAACTGCTACATTAACTGACACTAGTATGCCATTGTCTTGTATGTCTTGTTATGGAAGAGCACACACTTATGTCAGTTACATTGGAACTTCTGTTATTTGAAGCTGAAGCCATCCTTACTGACCCAGCAGCCTTGATCCAAATCAGTTTACTCTCCACATCACCATTTTCTTCCCTGTAAATTGTTATGGTCTCTCTAAGAACTCTTCCACCTATAATCGCTCAAGATTTTATTACAGGTAGAAATGGATGTGTAGCAGTCTGTTAAAAAGGAATACTGGATACCTAGAGAAAGAGCGAAACAAAAATACAGATACAGGAGACATCTGTGTAATGTGAAACATACGCTTCTGGGGGTAAATGATTGCTGCACGTGTTAAAAATAACACCTGATTGTATCTTCAAAAATCTTCTGCAAAGTTGACATCATTGTCAATTTCTATGAGCAAACCAAGACATAAATGTCAAGAAAAGTACAAACAATGTCCCGTACTCTAAGAGAATGTCAAGATTTCGACAGCATCACATGTTCAGGCAGGTCAAGAAGAATGAAGACAAATAAAAGGTCAAGTGCCTTAATGATTAGGCGGTTTTTAATGCTTTACAGTTAACAGTTTCTGCAAAGTCACAGGGTTGAGAGAAGGGAGTAAAGAGTGGGAGATGTGCCCTAGCTGGTTTTTCTCAATGGTTAGAACATCAGCCCGCTGACCAAAGGGTCTCGGGTTAGATTCCAGGTCAAGAGCATGAACCTGGGTTACAGATTTGATCCCTGGCCTGGTTGGTCATGTGGGAGGTAGCCAATGGATGCGTCTCTCTTATGTCTATGTCTCTCTCTCTCTCTCTCTCTCTCTCTCTCTCTCTCTCTCTCTCCCCTCCCTATTCATCTCTCTCCCTTCCACTCTCTCTAAAAACCAATGAAAAAAAATCCTCAGGTGAAGATTAACAAAAAATAAAATAAATTAAAAAGACTGGGAGATGTTAAGGAAGTGAAGACCACATTTACCAAAAGCTTAACAGTCAAAGAAAAGGGAAACATAAACAGTACTTCAAGGGAGGAACAAGTTTGAGGGGGAAATCATTTGTTTTGTTCCTTGTTTGTAAGGTGGAAAAGACCTGAGCATATTGACAGGCAGAGGAAAAGGGACGAATAGAGAAGAGTGGAAGGAAGGAGGACCCCAATAAGGGAGCAAGATCTGGAGGAGAGAGAAGATGTGCCCTTTGCCTTCCCCCTCTTGCCTGCTCCCTGAGCTTCAGCGGAAGTGAGGGCTCTGATCAATGGCCAGATTGAGCTGATGTAATCACTGATACAAGGTATTAATAATGAATGAATGTGATTTCTTGTATGCATTATTTTAATAGCTCTTTATAAAAGTACTATTGGAAAAAGACCAAAGGGTCTTTTCAAAGTTTATTTTTAAATGCATAGTTATTACAGAAAAGTGTCACTGTACAGTTAAAACCAATATTTATCTCATTCTCCTAATAGAGTATAACCTACAAAGTAGAAAACATAAAAAAATATTTTAAAAATAAAACAGTTTTATAATGGGTCCCAAATTACCCTAAACCTACATTACACAAGGAAAATTCAAATAGAATAATAGAAGTTACCATTTAGTAGGAATTTACTATATGCCAGGCCCTGTGCTAAGTTCTTCATATATATTAGTTTATCTAATCTGTCTGACACCCTGTGAGATGAGTGTTATTAACTTTATTTTATGCTGAACTGAGTGAGGCTCAGAGATGTTATATCCCCAAGATATAATGGTATTATTCTATACCAGTGTTCATAAATCAAATGATTATTCATATATACTGAGTGTTAACTATGGTCCAGAAAGTGCTAGGTACTTCCTAGTCTCATGACAGCTGTGTGAGGTATCTTTTTTTTTATCCTAATTATAGGGTAAATTCCAGAAAATTAGACATAGGACACTAGAGTCCACCCTTTCAACCAATGTGCTCTGATGTCTACAAAGGTTGAAAAAAATAAAGCTCATCAGTTTTCTCTGAATGCAAAAGCAAAAGCTAGAATAACCAGAAATACTGCAGAGCACCTTTTCTCAAACCAATGTCATTGCTCCATTTAATAGAAAGGAGAAATCTTACATTAAAAAAAAAAAAAAATTCTAAAGTCATACAGCCTTGGTTTAAATCTAGGCTCAGGCACTTACTTACCTATGTGATATTTGATGATGTTCTTATCCTCTCCGTGCCTCAGCCCTTCAACTGTAAAATTGGGATGGAATGATGATTAAATGCAAAGTCTGGCATATGGTAAGACTATGTAAATGTTAGCTGTTATACGCACTTGGATGTTTATTACACCATTTGTGGTTTCTGTGTTCTCAGTTTCCTCTTGCCTGGCTGGATAAATAAAAATTATAACTTTTTTTAAGGCATATTTTCAGTGTTGCCCTGGTGCATTCTTGCAAGAAAGAAAGGAAGAAGAAAAAAAAAAAAGACTCTCTATGGAAGCCATTTTCACCCCTCTTGCCATCAGGACTGGCTGTATCATTTCCAGGACCCAACAAACAATGAAAATGCCTGGCCCCTTATTCAAAAAGTATTAAGAATTCCACGATGGCAACAGCCATAAGCAAGAGTGAAGCACCTCTAAGTGCAGGCCCCTGCAAAGGCGGGACCTCATGCCAGGAAGCTGGCCCTGCTCAGCATCATTTTCTCTGAACAGAAGGGAAGACTCAGGGAGCGCTCTAACTTTGCTCGATTGTTTATTTGTCTTTTCGAATGTTTGTTTCTAACCCTACTTTGTCCAGGGAAATAGTTAAGGTAATTCTCCTTCTATGGAAAGAGTCTCAGATAGAAAATGTTCTTCAGAAAGCCAACTTCCTGTTTCCAGGCAGATTTTCGCCATGTCATTAAACACAACTGCTCTTCCGGAGTGTGTGTGTGTGTGTGTGGTGGGGAGGGGTGGGGGATCAAACAATCTTTAAGTTAATGAGGATTCATTCTGTTCAGCAATAAGCTCAGAAACCTTTTCCTGGACTGAGAACTGCCCAGTCACCTCTCAACAGGCAGAGCAGCAATAAAGCCTGAGGCACAGGGGCCATTCCTCACCTCCAACCAACAGTATGAGACCTAAACTAGGAACTAAAGGATTTTATTCCCATTAAGAGAACCAACTGAATCTTTTAACATGCTTTTTCCTTTGTGATTTTTCTCAAGATGTTTCCTAGATCATTCAAGAATATTCAAGGCTTAAATCTATTAACATTAGTTTTGTATCAATATTAGGTTTACCAGTGTTGACATCTATTGAACATTAAGAGAAATGCCAAACCCCCTTTCTTAATGAAGAGCTTTGATTTTATTACATTCAAATAGCAAATAAGCATAAGACTACACATAAGTATAGAGTCTTTTATTTCAAAAACGTCTGGTGCTTAGCCTAGATTTATCCCATATGTCCTTCCTATAGGCTAACAAGGAGAAATTCAATCTATAAAAGACTCGCACATTCACTCAATTGCCTCTGAACCCTCTTTGAACTGACAGCCAGGAAAGAGCTGCCATTTATTTAATTCATTTGCTTCATTTTTTAAACCTAGGCACCCTTCAAAACTCTCAGCATTCTCAAAACTTCAGGAATTTTTTAGAAATAAAGCAGCCATGGTCTTTGCAAGTATTGGTGGATATTGATAACATTAAAATATTAATATCTGTTTACATCAGCTCATTTTCTCATATTGCTATTTATCAGCACTTGGATTTCAGTTGTGGTTGGCTAAGCCAAAGCCAGGAAGCTAGACAGCCCTATAATCAGATCATGGAATAAGGTCAGGTGTTGATTATTAAAGCAAAAAGAATGAGAATCTTGAGTCCAAAGGTAAATCCAAAACTAAGAAAGCATGCAGGATAAAAGAACCATGCAAAAGAGCCAAAGCAAGTCCAGATGCCAGGGCACATACTCAAGCCATAGTGGGGCAGGTAAGCAGTAGAAAGCAAAGTAGCAGTGATGGTCCAAGCAAGTGTCCATGTGTGAATGGCATCTCATTATGCAGTGCAGAACTTGTACAACTCAGTCAATCCTGACTCAAGAAAGCATCAGAGGAAAACTAATAAAAAAGAAAAGCAACGAAACCAAAACTTGTCTCCACAAGGATGGTGGTATCAATTAAAGACATATTGAAAACAAAGATAATAAACACTCAAAAGTCATCACTTCTTTACTATTTCACTATATTTTAGGTTATTTCTGTCTAGTGAAACAATGTGGTGGAAATAATTTACAATGACATGATACTGTGCATCTCTTCCCACATCCATGTTTAGTAACGTCACATAGGTAGCTTAAAATTGGCCATGATGGGCACAAGTACCCCAGGCAAATAAAAAAAATACATCAAACCAAGAATTTTGGAGAGGAAGGGAGGAGGAGGCAGCTGTCAAACATGCACTAGCACAGCATTGGTTAGTGTCTCCCAGTACAGAACTTACAGCATTGAAAAGTATAATATTCATGGATGTGAAAAGAAAAAAGGATTTTGTGACTGCAAATTCCTAAACCCAGTATATACTGTTGTCTTTACAATATGTCCAATCTACCTGTTCAGGTTTAGCCCATACCCTCTATTTCCTGGCCACATCTAATGTCCCTCCAGTGACAAACCATGTTTTCTCATACCTCCGTGTATTCAACATTTTCCAAGCTCCTCCTGAATACAGGCACTGTGCTCTGGATTGAGGAATCAGAGATGTGAGGAATCAGAGATGTGAGGAATCCTTCCTGCCCTTAAGGAGCTCACAGTTTAGGGAAGAAAAGAAAGCAGCAAATGAATAAATGCCCTAACAGGACATGGCAAGTCCATGATGAAGAGAGGTGTGGCCTGTGTTTTGTGGGAAGGCAGGAGATGCTCCTATAAGGGAAGACTTCCTGGAAGAGACCACAGTCGAGCTGAGTCTTAATGGGGCGATATGCTTAGTGATTAAGCACAGGGGTTGAACCAGGTTTCTTGGGTTCAAAGCCCAACTCCACCAGTTTACTAGCTAAATAATCTTGAACAAGTACTTAACTTCTTTAAACTTCAGTTTTCTCATCTACAAAATGAGACCCCCTTCTCCACAGAATTATTGTGAGGATTAAGTGAAATAATGAATGTAAGGCATTTGGTACCATGTAAATTGCTTTTACAACATTTGTTTTATTTTAGGTGTTAGCCAAGTGAAGATGGGAGTAAAAAGAATTTCTGGTAGAGAAAATGGAGCAAGCAAAAACATAGAGGCATCAAAGATTACGACATGTTTCCCCAAATACATCTTTAAAAATATGACTATAACCCAAAGCAATAGGGAAGTGGGAATTTATTGTCTTTCCCAAAAAAAGTGGCTGTGTCTGTACCTTCCTGTAACCACGCCCGGTTCTCAGAGCCAGCGTCAGCTCACACGCCTGCCCTCCTCCTACTCCCATATTCGCTCAGCACAAGTCATACGGATAAGTGTTTCTCAACCAACTGAGACGAGTTCCATTTTGTGCTCCCTGCCCTTATGGTCCAATATTTCTATAAAATACAATTAAAATGAGTCACTAAAAAAATTTAATAGGAAGCAAAGATTTATATCTAACAAATGTTAATTTTTTCATTATTACATTTAACAGTTATAAAATTACTCTTTGAACTTACTACAAAAGTTTCTAAATTCTTACTCTCAATTTCTGTATTTATCCCATAGCAGACTGGTAACACACAGTTCACAAACTGTCGCCAGTTCAGGAACTACACTCTGAGAAGCAGTGTTGTAGAATATACTACCACCCTAGTATTTCTAAAAGACCCCATTTTCTTCCCTTAGTTCAGCCATTAGGCCCTTATCACCCTTCCTCTAAACAGCAACCTTCAAATGCCCTCACTGCCTCCAAGATCTTACGCACCCTCCAATCCATCCTCTACTTTATAGTCAACCAGATCTTTTAAAATTCCAAATCTAATTATGTTACTCTTCCATCTAAAACCTGTTAGTTATTTTCCATTACCTTCAGGATAGAGCCTAGAACTCCACCATCTGATATCTGTCTCCTTCTCGTCTTTTTTACTATCACATTCTCCCCTACTGCCCTACCACACACACACACACAGTGTCTTGCACTCTGTTCTATAGGCAAACAAATACCTAGCTGTAGCACACCTCCATACCTTTGCTTGTATTAATGCCTCTATCTGAAACACCTTTCTTCATCTTCACACACACAAAAAAAACTACCTATCTTTCAAGATCCAGTTCAAGGGTCAGATTCTCTATGAAACTTTGCTGACTTCTTCTCCCTGCCCAATCGCTGGCTCGGAGATCTGACCATTCCTTTATGTAACTACACCCTGTACACATTGTGAGGACTAAGATTTATCAAACTTATTTACATCTATTTTCCTCACATGCTCTTGCATGTGACACCGTGTCTAGACCGCTTTGTTTTATTTCCTGAGCACAGTTTCCAGCATATTGTTAGCACTTGTGAATGGAAGGAGGGAAGGAAGGAAAGAAGGGAAGGAGGGAGGGAGGGAGGGAGGGAGGGAGGGAGGGAGGGAGGGAGGGAGGGAGGGAGGGAAGGAGAATGAGGGGAGAAAAAATAAAGCTTGAAAGGGTACAGCAACCAAATCCAGAAGTGCTTTATATATCCTGTAGTGGAATTTGAATTTTATCCTAAAAGCCACTGAAGACCTTAATGTATTTTAAATAGAGGTGTGACTAAATCCCTAATTGGGTTTTGGAGAAATGGGTCTGGCAACAATATGATGGTTGGATTTTGGAGTAGGAGGAAATAAATGAGCCTAAAGAGACAGGTGCAGTATCTATTGCAGCATTCCAGGCGAGGAGATGGAGAGGACATGGAGAGGAGATGAAGAGAAGATTGGTTCAAGAGCTATTTAAGGGATTGAGCTATGAGAACTGTATTAATCAATAGGAATGGGGGGGGGTGATTTTCAGATTTCTGCTTTGGGTCTTTGGTGCCAAACACTGAGCAGAGGAATAAGGAGAAGAAGCAGGTATGGGAGGGGAAATAACATGTGATCTCCTTCCTCTCTACTCAGTGGCAACTTCAACACTTCACACTTCTCTCAAGTTTCACCTCAGATGCCCAGCGGACAGCCTCGCTTGTTTCTTCCAGAGAAATAGCAGTCATCAGGCGAGGATCTCTCCACTTCCTCACTGACACTGACTAATTTGTCTGCACCTTCCTCATTCAGGCCTTGGTAGAAGACGTGGCCCTGAGGTTTCACCCAACCCTGTGCGCCAGGACCTCAGCCCCCACGAGAGCCTCTTAGAACTGTAACCTCTCCTTCTCCGCTCTCCCCCACAGCATATAGCTTCAAATGTCTCTCGTGTTGAGGTGCCCAGTACATCTCCTTCCACCTGTTGCTTATTTCTTACTTTTCTTTAACAACCAACTTTCCTGAAGGTATATACCTACTGTTGAATTCCATTGTATTTGCAGTATGTTATCACTGTAAAAAGCTTAAAAAATACTTAGAAGTATGAAAGAGAAATTACTTGTACATCCAAAACAGTTCTTGCTAATACATTGGTATATTTCTTTCTAGAATTTTTTTTCTATGCAAGGATATAAGTATACATAAATATCTATTTTATAAATACTTCTCACTTCAAATTATATTTAGCCTTTTTTTTTTTTCATTGTTTTCCATTAACATCATTTTTGAAATCCTCACCAGAGGACATTTTTGCATTTATCTTCAGATAGAGTGGGAGGGAGAGAAGGAGGAAGAGAGAGAGAGAAACGTTGATGTGAGAGAGACACATTAGACTGGTTGCCACCCACACGACACTGCCCGGGGCCAGGGACAAACCACAAACGTTAGTGAGAACCAAACCCAGGACTCTCTGGACCGCGGTTCGACGCTCTAACCACTGAGCCAAACTGGCCAGGGCTCCATTAACATCATTTTAAAGGATGTGTGAATAGTCTATTGTCTGGCTATTCCAAAACTTATTTAATTTTCTCTTACTATTAGATTTTTAAATCTTTCAAGTATTTTGTTAAAATAAATAACATTGCATATTATAAACATTTTTGGCGTTTTGATACATACTCCCAAACTGCTTTCCAGAAAGCTTGTACAAAATACCCTATTCAGCCCTGGCCGGTTTGGCTCAGCGGTTAGAGCGTTGGCTTGAGGTCCAGAGAGACCCAGGTTCGGTTCCCGCTAAGGGCATGTACCTCGGTTGCAGTTTGTCCCCAGCCCTGGTTGGGTTGTGAGGGTGGCAACCACTGGATGTGTCCCTTTGACATCGATGTTTCTCTCTCTCTCTCTCTCTCTCTCTCTCTCTGTCCCACTCTATCTGAACAAAATATCAAAAAAAATTTAAAAATTAAAAAAAATACCCTATTCACTCAGCTACTGTCAGGTTCATTTTCATTAAAAAAGAAAGAAAGAAAGAAACATTTTTTATCTAATGATCAAAAATGGAATGATTGTTTTGTTCTGCATTTCTTGAATGAAAAGTGTAATTGGCCACTGAACTGTACACTTAAAAGTAGTTAAAATGGTACATTTTATGTGTATTTTACCACAATAAAAAAAAAAGTGAAATTGAGCATTTTGAGTATTAGTCATATCTATTTTACCTTTGGTGAGTTACTTATTCATGTCCTTTGCCCATTCAAATATTGGGCCCATAATATATTTTTTACTGATTTTTCTGAGTTCTTTATATAGTAAAGGCAGTAAACAGCTTGCCGTTAAATTTACTGAAAATATTTTCCCCTCTTTATTTTGTCATTTAAGTTTGTTTATGGGCTTGGACATTTATGGAGGAGGGTGGTGGTGGTGGAACATTTTACATTTTTATACTGTATATTCAAATCTTTCAATAATTTCCTTTGGGGTTTCTTCCATTGCTATCATGCTCAAAAAGTTATTTTCTAGCCAGTCATCAGGTAATTAACTACTCATCTCCATGACTCTGTTATAGGTGGTGCCCTCTGGTCCTAGCAGTAAAACAAAGATGAAAACACTCATTCTCTGTCTCAAGGAAGTCTAGCAGCCAGTGAGGGAGACAAACATATACACAGATAAATACAAATGCATGAGAGACCGGCTGCTGAAGGAGAAATGTTCATTCTACTTAACAGAGGTCCATAACTAGGTCAGGGGCCCAAATTTGCCTAAAGAAGTTCATTCCTTACTTTTATCATTATTTATTAATTTTGGACCATTTAACACATTCACAAAACTGCATGGCTTTTAGAAGTATATGAAATGAGAACATAATAGCCCATCCCAGCTAATCAGTCCCTTCTTCCTGGCTCTGGAGGTTCTAAAAACAATGACTCATGTAATATTCTTGGGCAACCATCCATCCAGTCTTCCCACAAGTCTGAGTTTGTCAGCCTCTCTTAATTTTATCTAGGCATTTAAATCTTAATTTTAGTATTATTAGCACATTTACTGGCTTGCTATTTTTCAGAAAACACTTTAAAAAGAAACATGTAAATTACAACGATGATAAGAAATGCAATGCCTCGGGTACAATGGCAGTAATTGTTAATGAATGACCATTAACAAACATTTCAAGAAATTAATCAGCACAGATGGGCATGGCAATCACGTGTGAAAGAAGTCTTAATAGAAATGCTTTGCTTTAAGGGTTCTGGAAAAGGCTGAGTCTCATACACTGCTAACAGGAGCATAAAATTGGTACAACATTTCCACAAGATAATTTTTCAATATGAGTTGAGGCTTTAAGAGAGTTATATCTTTTTTTTAATTCTCACCAGAGGATGTTCCCATTGATTTTAGA